TAATTCCAAGATCTTTTTTTTTTCAATAACAACAGCTAATTTAGATCCCATGTTATATGTATAGTCGGGATTGTGTATCACTTGTTTTAAGATGAGAGATTTGAAATAAACTTCTGTTTAAAATATTTTGTCTTTAGCTACGAGTGCAGGTGGTTGTGATTTTCTTTTAGTTGGCTGAGGGGGGTGCCTGGGTGCTCTCTTTCGAAAAAGCGGCTTGCTTTTTTGAAAGAAGTGGTTGCAGTCTAGATGCTCTCTTTCGAAAGAGACTTGTAGTCTAGACATACCCTTAGTGTTTCCTATACTCTCCCCCACCAGGATTTGTGAAATTTGATTAAATTAAAATATTTCAATTGTTGTATTGAGGGTGGGAAAAATATTGCCTCATTTTAACTTTCAACTACCAATTCTATCTGTTTCACTCTCACTAAATCTGTGTAAGTTATGTACATGTATCTGAGTGCTGGCTTTTGTTTTATATCTGCCAGAATTCCTGATCAAATATTTATAGTGATCCAGGTTCTGAACTTCTTTGTAGTTAAACTTCATTCGGTCATTGAGAGAGAAGCATATTTAACAGATCTTTACAAAGCAGGTCACTAAAATTAAAAACCTAAATGAGTATCACTTGATCTTATAAATTCTTGTGATATTTCTTAATGCTGCATTTCAGACTGTGACTTACATGTTCTCTTTCAGAAACTGTTCAGGTGCCTATCTCCAAAAGAGTAAGGTTTGTTGGGCCAGGCGGCTATAACTTAAAAAAACTACAGGCTGAAACTGGTAAGAGAGTGTCATTACTATAATGGCTATTTATTTATTTATTTATTTTATTGTATAAATGTGATATTAGCTCTCTTTGGTGCATGTGAAACCTTTACTTTATGGGATATCATGTTGTTGACAATTAGAGGGCAGGAAGTGGGGGGTGCAAGAGTCAGGGCAGGAGTGTTAGGAGGTTAGAGGGCTGATGGGCTGCAGAGGGTTTGGGTGGTGAACTGGGGCAGGAGAATGGTGTGCAGGGTCTGAGAGGGTGTTTGGGTGCAGGAGAAGATTTTGGCCTGGGGGAGGGTATAGGAAGGGGTACAGGGTCAGGGAGGGAGTTGAGACCTGGGGCAAGAGGGTGCAGAGGGTTTGGATGGCGACCTGGGAGAGGGAATCCTATTAGTTGTTTCCGGCTAACAGGAGCTGAGGATTGGGCTGGGGCAGGGAGTTCACACAAATCCTTCCCCTGCCTGCAGAGCAGAGAGCCACATGGACTGCACTTTAAGCTGCAGCAGCTGCATGTCTGAAGGTCCTGGCAGTGTGGTCTGTGGGCCGGATCCGGTGGGTTGGCAGGCCAGATCCAGCCTCTGGGCCGTATTTTGCCGAGCACAGATCTAAACAGTGCTTGGTCCTGCCGTGACGGCAGGGGACTGGACTCAATGACCTCTCAAGGTCCCTTCCAGTCCTAGTGTTCTATGGTTCCCTGATTCCAATCTCTCCTCACACAGAAGTTTCTCTATGCCTCTCCCCCTTGTTAACCAAATACTGACCCCCTTCTACTCTGATACCTAGGCTTGGGTATAGGATAATCAGACCTCAGCACAGTGCTTAGGTGACTGAGTGCCACTTCTCTGTGTTACAGAATGATATTTTCAATATCACTAGCCTGTTTCTTATAACTTCTTAATAGTTTGTTTCTACCATTGTTGCACATTGAACATAGTTTTTATTCAGCTTTTCACATTGATACCTCTGATCTCGTTCCCAAATGATTACATTAGTTTGGAAGGAAAAACTGAATTACAAGACTGGTCATCTCTTACCATTGTCCCCATTTATTCTTATGCTGTACTGTCGGCAGAGCTCACTTGCATGTTCATTTAATTCTTCCATAGCCCTGAGCTCTGGAGGCAACACCCCATTAATATCCTTGTGACGACTAAACACCATTTGTCCCAGCTCCGTCCAACGTTTCTGCAGGTTGACAGCAGTCTTGAGGGTCTCCTTCCTCATTAGTAGAATTTCCCCTCCATATTGCTCCAGGTCCTCATTCAGCATCTAAAAAGAAAGTAATGAATATGTCATCCCAGTAACAGCTCTCAGCTGGCTGGATCAACCCAGAAGTGCAATAGAAAAGTGAGGAAGCCCGTTTGGCTCAGGATGAAAAAGATGTTGAAAACTAAGTAATTATACTTTGCTTTATGACTATCCTTCTTAGCATTTGTAGAATTAAATAATTTGTACTTATTAGCAGCTTAATTTGTAGGCTAAGGGCCTATGCTTATCAGAAAGTCTTACATTTTCCAAGTTCTTGAAGTCCTTTAGGATTTCTTCTAATACATCTCTTTTTATAGCAGAGAAGCTTGCTTTCCCACTAGAGGGACAAGGAGAGAAATTGAGAGACAGGATGAGATATAAGAGAAACATTACTCCTGAATGTGCAAAAGTAAACTTATGATGTGTGCATGCCCCGCTACATACTATATTCTGTACTTGAAACAGAGGCCCATCTTCCACCCCACCTCTGACTTACATGCCCTCCACTAGAATCACAAAAGCATGTGGAGTCCCATTTAGGAAAAAATATTTCTTCAAGTACAGAAATAATGGAAAGGAAATGTAGTTGTCAGTAAGGCTGTGGATGAAATTGACAAAATGCTGTCCTTCACTCATGCTGTAATCACCAGGAGAAAAAAATCTTCTAAAATATTTTTAGTCTTATTTCACTTTTTAAATGTGTAGGTCAACAAGTAGCTAGAATGAAGATAACCAAGTTAATGTTACTATCAGAACCTTACATTTTGCATCTTCTGACTTTTAATGTCTCGTTTTGTAACTTTAGTGTTATATTAAAATAAATGTTGGTATTTCACTTATTTGCATGTAAGCATAAAAATTGCCAAGCTTCAACAACAAACAAGATCACTGTCAGTCCATTCAAAGTAACATTTCAAAAAGAAAACTCCAGTTATATAATCACAGGATGCAATTGTCAGTCCAGTTGAAGTCAAATCAAAACTCCCAGTGCCTTCAATTAAGTCAGGTTTTTTACCTAGTGAGAGGCTACTGGATAAATACACTAGAAGAAAAGGTTACTCACCTTGTGCAGTAACTTCTGTTCTTCGAGATGTGTGTCCCCGTGGGTGCTCCACGACCCGCCCTCCTCCCTGCTTCGGAGATCTCTCTTGTATCTTGCAGATGTTCCGGCTAGGAGGAACTGGCGGGTCGGACCGCGCGACGCAGAAAAGGCGCGAATGCCGCGGGGCACACTGCGCACGCGCGGTCCTCCGAAGGGGGCTACTGCTACGAAGAAGTTTCCGGTTTGCGGCGCCGGGACGAGCCCGACACCTGTAGTGGAGCACCCACGGGGACACACATCTCGAAGAACAGAAGTTACTGCACAAGGTGAGTAACCTTTTCTTCTAGTGTATTTATCCAGTAGCCTCTCACTAGGTAAAAAACCTGACTTAATTGAAGGCACTGGGAGTTTTGATTTGACTTCAACTGGACTGACAATTGCATCCTGTGATTATATAACTGGAGTTTTCTTTTTGAAATGTTACTTTGAATGGACTGACAGTGATCTTGTTTGTTGTTGAAGCTTGGCAATTTTTATGCTTACATGCAAATAAGTGAAATACCAACATTTATTTTAATATAACACTAAAGTTACAAAACGAGACATTAAAAGTCAGAAGATGCAAAATGTAAGGTTCTGATAGTAACATTAACTTGGTTATCTTCATTCTAGCTACTTGTTGACCTACACATTTAAAAAGTGAAATAAGACTAAAAATATTTTAGAAGATTTTTTTCTCCTGGTGATTACAGCATGAGTGAAGGACAGCATTTTGTCAATTTCATCCACAGCCTTACTGACAACTACATTTCCTTTCCATTATTTCTGTACTTGAAGAAATATTTTTTCCTAAATGGGACTCCACATGCTTTTGTGATTCTAGTGGAGGGCATGTAAGTCAGAGGTGGGGTGGAAGATGGGCCTCTGTTTCAAGTACAGAATATAGTATGTAGCGGGGCATGCACACATCATAAGTTTACTTTTGCACATTCAGGAGTAATGTTTCTCTTATATCTCATCCTGTCTCTCAATTTCTCTCCTTGTCCCTCTAGTGGGAAAGCAAGCTTCTCTGCTATAAAAAGAGATGTATTAGAAGAAATCCTAAAGGACTTCAAGAACTTGGAAAATGTAAGACTTTCTGATAAGCATAGGCCCTTAGCCTACAAATTAAGCTGCTAATAAGTACAAATTATTTAATTCTACAAATGCTAAGAAGGATAGTCATAAAGCAAAGTATAATTACTTAGTTTTCAACATCTTTTTCATCCTGAGCCAAACGGGCTTCCTCACTTTTCTATTGCACTTCTGGGTTGATCCAGCCAGCTGAGAGCTGTTACTGGGATGACATATTCATTACTTTCTTTTTAGATGCTGAATGAGGACCTGGAGCAATATGGAGGGGAAATTCTACTAATGAGGAAGGAGACCCTCAAGACTGCTGTCAACCTGCAGAAACGTTGGACGGAGCTGGGACAAATGGTGTTTAGTCGTCACAAGGATATTAATGGGGTGTTGCCTCCAGAGCTCAGGGCTATGGAAGAATTAAATGAACATGCAAGTGAGCTCTGCCGACAGTACAGCATAAGAATAAATGGGGACAATGGTAAGAGATGACCAGTCTTGTAATTCAGTTTTTCCTTCCAAACTAATGTAATCATTTGGGAACGAGATCAGAGGTATCAATGTGAAAAGCTGAATAAAAACTATGTTCAATGTGCAACAATGGTAGAAACAAACTATTAAGAAGTTATAAGAAACAGGCTAGTGATATTGAAAATATCATTCTGTAACACAGAGAAGTGGCACTCAGTCACCTAAGCACTGTGCTGAGGTCTGATTATCCTATACCCAAGCCTAGGTATCAGAGTAGAAGGGGGTCAGTATTTGGTTAACAAGGGGGAGAGGCATAGAGAAACTTCTGTGTGAGGAGAGATTGGAATCAGGGAACCATAGAACACTAGGACTGGAAGGGACCTTGAGAGGTCATTGAGTCCAGTCCCCTGCCGTCACGGCAGGACCAAGCACTGTTTAGATCTGTGCTCGGCAAAATACGGCCCAGAGGCTGGATCTGGCCTGCCAACCCACCGGATCCGGCCCACAGACCACACTGCCAGGACCTTCAGACATGCAGCTGCTGCAGCTTAAAGTGCAGTCCATGTGGCTCTCTGCTCTGCAGGCAGGGGAAGGATTTGTGTGAACTCCCTGCCCCAGCCCAATCCTCAGCTCCTGTTAGCCGGAAACAACTAATAGGATTCCCTCTCCCAGGTCGCCATCCAAACCCTCTGCACCCTCTTGCCCCAGGTCTCAACTCCCTCCCTGACCCTGTACCCCTTCCTATACCCTCCCCCAGGCCAAAATCTTCTCCTGCACCCAAACACCCTCTCAGACCCTGCACACCATTCTCCTGCCCCAGTTCACCACCCAAACCCTCTACAGTCTGCACCTCCTTTTTCCATTCTCCCAGGTCACAATTCCCTCCCAGACTTTGCACCCCCCCCCCAGGCCAGAGTCCTCTCTTGCACCCATACTCCTTCCGTGACCATATACCCCCTGACCCAGATCACAACCCCCTCCTTCACCCAAACTCCCTCTCAGACCTCACACCGTCTCCTGCACCCCACTTCCTTACCCCATGCACTCTTCTGCACCCAACCTCCATTCTAGACCCTGCATCTCCTCCACAGAAAAGTGCAGCCCTTGACCACTTTCCAAAATCTTGGAGTGGCCCCCCACTAAAAATGATTACCTACCCTTGGTCTAGATCATCCCTGATAGACATCTATCTAACCTGCTCTGAAATATCTCCGGTGATGGAGATTCCACTCTTCCCTAGGCAATTTATTCCAGTGTTTAGGAAAAACTTTGTAACTGTCAGGGTGGTTAATGTCCAACCTAAATCTACCATGCTGCAGTTTTAGCCCATTGCTTCTTGTCCTGTCATCAGAGGCCAAGGAGAATGATTTGTCTCCCTTTTCCTTGTAACACCCTTTTAGACTGCTATCATGTCTCTTCTTAGTCTTCTATTTTCTAAACTAAACAAGCCCAATTCCTTCAGTTTTCCCTCATAGCTCATGTTTTCTAGCCCTTTAATCATTTTTGTTGCTCTTCTCTGGACCTTCTCCAATTTCTCCACGTGTTTCTTGAAATGTGGTGCCCAGAATTGGACACAATACTCAGCGCAAAATAGAGCGGTAGAATGACTTCTCATGTCTTGCTCACAACACTCCTGTTAATGCAACCCAGAATTATGTTTGCTTTTTTGCAACAGTGTCACACTATTGACTCATGTTTAACTTGTGGTCCACTATGACCCCTAGATCCCTTTCTGCAGTACTCCTTCCTAGACAGTCACTTCTCATTCTATATGTGTGAAATTGATTGTTCCTTCCTAAATGGGGTACTTTGTATTTATCCTTATTAAACTTAATCATCCAATTTACCTCAGACCATTTCTCCAGTTTGTTCAGATCATTTTGAATTATGACGCTATCCTCCAAAGCACTTGCAACCCCTCCCAGCTTGACATCATCTGCAAAGATAATAATCGTACTCTCTATGTCATCATCTAAATCATTGATGAAGATATTGAACAGAAGCGGTCCCCAAACAGACCCTATAGAACCCCAATTGATTGAGTGTTACAATCAGAGCCAGTTAGTTTAGATTAGAGAAGACATGCTAGAGATATGCAGCATAAAGATATGTCTGGTGCTCCTATTTACCCTTTCTCCAAAAAAAAAAAAAAACAAAAACAAGGGACAGTCAGTGAATCTGCAAGTGAACAAATTTGAACCCATGATGCACAATCTGTGGAACTCTTTGCCACAAGACATCGTGGAAGCCATCACCTTTAGTAGGACTCAAAGAGAATTTAAACACTTGCTTTTGATAATAAGAATATGTATAGTTATATGCATCTCAGCAGACAGGGAATACACTTTTGCAGGTGTATTCTCTACACCTTTGCTCAGGCAGTTTCCCATTTTACACATGCATTTCTATTTGCACATACACATGCACACTCACCTGGCAGAAATTGGATGCTTGTGTTGAAAGTTTTGCCCTTTTAGGTATGAAACATTCTTGGCAAATAAATAAAGCCCTACTGTGAAAGGCTTTATGCATAGGAACAACAGATACTTCTTGGTCTGTCTGATCCAGTGCGCCTGATTGAATACAAAGCTGCTGATTCTTGTGATGCTGGCCGTTGCTGAGAGCTAGGAATCTGAAATTGAGCAATATAGGAAATATATCATCTTAACCACAACACTTGAAATAAACAGAAAAGCATCCATTGACTTGGTTTTGAATTAGTTCCTTACTAAAGTTATTCTTTAATTCAAGCGTGCTAAGTTCATGCCTAATGTAGTCATTCCTCTTATAGAATTTGAACCACTGCATTCTGAAGCTCACTTTTCACTGACTGAAGGACAGGGGTAACTAGGATTTTGACAGGTTTAGTGAGCAGTATGGAAGATTGGACGTTCAAGATGCTAACCAACAAGCGAGGATCTGGCATGCCTGAATCTGAATGGCTGAAGTTGTCTCAAGTGATGCCTGATTGGCTGATCCAGGTGGCCGAACTGAGGACAATTATAGGTTCCAGCCAGTCCCGGGAAGATCTCAGGAGTAAAAAACTTCATGACTTGTAAGGTTCTTGCCAGTGTTCATAAGGCTGTCCTGATATAATTTTCTTTTCTCACATTCTTGGATAAATGTTCTCTTGTGGTAGATGCTGTCTGGCACAGGTGCTTAGTAATTGGCTACAGAGTCTTGGTTTAGGTGGGAAGCAGTGTTCCCTCGATTAATAACACACACACACACACACACACACACACACACACACACACACACACACACAATTATGGAAGAAAGAATACTGAAATAAGGGATAATTAACAAGGTGCATGACTTTAAATGTTTACTTAATGTGAAATCAAATAAAAACAAAATTAATACTGCAACATTTTCAGTAGCCATTTGGTATCTTACATGTATCTGTTCCTTTGCGGCATAACACAAAATTGTCCATTTTCTTACAGGTACGGGGTAGGGGGTTGGAAGCATGTGTGTGTAGGACAGAGTGCGGGAGACCCTGCCATACATTGCTCCTGTTCCTGGCCAAAGGGAGTTGTGGTTGTGGGGGTGCTGCATGCCACTCCCCACAGCTCCAGCTCTGGCACACGGGGCAGCCGCCGGCCACCCAGTGCACCCAGGACTGGAGCAGCTGGGCAGCCACCACATGGCCCTGGCCCCAGCTTCAGCCTTCCCCAAGGCTGGAGCTGCAGCAAGGGTGAACCGCATGGCGGCTGCTGGAGCTGCGGCTGCAGTGCTATTTTTAGTACCACAGCCCCAGCCCCAGGAGCAGCCGCTCTGTGTCTGCATCTCCAGCTCTGGCAAGAACAGAAGTGGACTTTACAGGCCACATACACTGACGGAAGGGACTCAGGAGTGTAGACACACACATTATTAGATTGTCTTAATGTGCCTCATGTCAACCGAAGCTGGTAGTGTAGCTCAGGTTTCAGTCTTTAACTGGTAGAGAGCCAATGACAAATCTTTCATCATAACTCTTTGTCAGGCATTTGAGTTAAACATAACTAAAACCAGATTTCGAATACTCTGACTGAAAACCAGTTGCTCAAGATACTCTCTTAGTACTTGTATGGTCATAATGTTGTTATTTGTCAGCAATACATAAAGCCTCTCAAAAAGTCCAAGCTGGACAGAATTTCTGATGTAAAATTCAGTGGAACCTCTCTTCCACTTTTAAAATATGTGTTAGCCTTTGTTTGTCTGTCACAAGGAAGCAAATCAATTTACAACTTCTGTTTCCATTGTAAGTCACACTTACATAGAACTTGTGACTTCAAACAATTAGAATTCCCATTATTGGAAGCTCTTGTGCCTAGTATGACTGCCTCTTACAAGAAATTAATATAACTTCTGTCAGTTATTTGACTAAGTTTTTGTTAACCTAATCTCTCTTTCCCCACAGAGTTCCATTTTCCGTCATTTTTTTGCAGTTGTCTGGGAATGATCCTTATAGTAACTGCTCCTTAGCTCCTAGTACCCCTCTCCTGCAGTAAGAGTCCTTGATAGTGATAGAAATGTAGCCGTGTTAGTCTGGTGTAGTTAGAAACTCTCTTCCCACTACACTCTGACAATGAACATGGGTTTCACCTATATTGCAGATATAGCATTGAGTTGGGAAGCTAGATTTCTGTTTGAGCTATGAGAGCCTCAGATCTGATGCACTATATAGATCACTTTGGTTTGTGGGGTTGTTTTCCTTTAGGGTTGTTCCAAGTGATGTGTTTAAGATGATTCAACAATGGATCTTGACCACAACTTCTGGGACTGAGAAGGACAATCTTCAGCTTACAGAGGAAGTACGTATATGCCAGAGGGGGTTTGGGTTGGGAGCTCATCTGTCAAGCAGTCATCCTCGTTTCATTTTTGTATGTTTATTATTGTTTAGGGTAGAGTCCAGAGGAAGCTCCCTGTGCTTTTACCCCTTCCTCTCCCTTTGAAGCTCAGCACAATGGTTTCCACTTTTATGGCAAGAGGAGATTTGGGAGAGATCCTTTCAGAATCCTTCAGTGCAGTTGTCAGAAAGGACCCGCTAGAGTGTCATGAACCAGACTTTAACCAGGACCACTAGAAATTTATGAAAAACTTTGCCACATTATATAGATTTTTTCCTATGGCTTCCGCAAAGAGTTTTGGAAATCTGATTTTGAAAGTGCACATGATAATGTTAACAAGTTAATTGGCTGAAGTATAGCCAATTGTTTGACAATGCTTGCAATGCAGCAAGCAGTTTGCCTTATACAGAAGGGCTACGTCTACACTGGCCACAATTTCCGGAAAAGCCATGTAAATCAGGTAAGTCAGGATAGGGAAATCCGCGGGGGATTTAAATATCCCCCGCGGATTTAAATAAATATGTCTGCCGCTTTTTTTCCGGCTTGGGGAAAAGCCGGAAAAAAAGCGTCTAGACTGGCGCGATCCTCCGGAATAAAGCCCTTTTCCGGAGGATCTCTTATTCCTACTTCGAACAGACTTCAGTGAAAAGTCCCAATCTGAGCATGAAATTTCGACTGAATGTATTTCCCATGGCTCCAGTTATAAGATGCTGTCTTCTCAAGACTCCTTGCTCTTAGTGGTCCATGAAAAATGCAACCAGATGTCTGAACTGGACCTGATGTCCCAAGATTTGGATGCTGGGCCAGTATATAATTCTAGAGTAGCTCCCCACTCATTGCATTTTATATGCATTCATCAATTCCACTGTTATGTTAACTCAAGCCTCTCTTCATTGTATTTGAAGTTCTGTTATGAGGATTCTTTAGTGGCCTATGGAGAGCTGGCTACTTACACAGTGAACATAAAAGTGGCCACATAGGGTCAGATCAATGTTCCCTCTATCCCAATATCCTGTCTTCTGACAGTGGCCACTGCCAGATGCTTCAGAAGGAATGAAAAACACAGACCATCTTGGAGTGATCTATCCCCTGTAGTCCGTTCCCACCCTCTGGAGGGTCAGAATCTAGGAATACCCAGAGCATGGAGTTGCATCCATCTTGACTAACAGCCATTGATGAATCTATCCTCTGAACATATCTCATTCTTTTTTTCAGTCCCATTATCATTCCCTTGGCAAAGAGTTCCACAGACTTCCTTATATTTGTGCTAAACCTGCTGCCTATTCATTTCATTGGGCGACTCTTGGTTCTTGTGTTATGGGAAGGAGTAAATAACACTTCTTTACTCACTTTTTCCACAACATTTACGATTTTATACCACTGCCATATCTTCTCTCAGTCATCTGTTTTGGAAGCTGAATAGTCCCTGTCTTTTTAATGTCTCCAAACCCTTAAGTATTTGTGGCCCTTTTCTGTACTTTTTCCAGTTCTTTTTTGAGATGGGGCAACCAGAATTGCACGTGTAGTATTCAAGGTGTGGGTGTATCATGGACCTACATAGTGGTGTTATGATATTGTCTCTTTTATTATATAGATCCCTTTTCTAATGATTTCCAACATCCCGTTAGTTTTTTTGACTGCCACTGCACACTAAGTGGATGTTTTTAGACAGCTAGCCGCAATGACTCCAAGATCTCTTTTGAGTGGTAACAGCTAAGTTACATCCCATCATTTTCTATATATACTAGAAGACTTACCTGGCATTTCCCAGGTCTAGCCCACAAAGTGCAGGAGGCTGCACAGACCTCCTGCCGGCACTCCCCAGGCCTGGCTGGGGCTGGGGCAGAAGGAGGGGGCCACACAGGATGGCAAGGCATGGCTATGTTGGGCAGCCCAGTGGTGCTGGGGGCGTGGCCTGTGGCTCCATAAGAGGTGGCTGGGACGGGGATGCGCTGCCCAGCCCTGATGATGCACGTGTGGACTTTCCTGCCACTAAATTCAGAGTTCTTTGCAAATCTGACACCCAGTTACCATTCCAGACTCTTGCCGCGGTTTGATTCATGCTTTAACCCTTTAGTTTGAACTTCTGTGCAGATGACTGAACTCCACAAAGCCCTGACCATGTGGATGGTGAATGTGCTGACTTTGATGGTATCGGACCACTCCTCCAATAAGGGTCTCCTAGAGAGCGAGTCAGAAGCTGCTCAGGATCAAGAGCTCAAGAGGCTAAGTGGCTATTATCTAGAGGAAGATGCAAGGAACCTGGTTTCCAAAATGAGCAGTTTCTCCAAATATATCATGAGGTACTGATGACGCCTCAGACCTCACTTGCCTCCTAGGATTTTTTCCAATGGGAAAAATCCATCGTGTGATGGGACGGCTCCCTGAAGGGAGGTCTGAGCTCCCCAGAAGCGGGTGGGATTATAAAAAGGCAACTTTAATACTGTGTGGCACTCAGAAGGAAACATTTCAAGCATAAGTTAATGATAACATTAGCTGGAATAACTTGTGGTGTTCAACACCCACTGCTATGTAATCATTAAGGGCTTTACTGTCTAGGTGCATGGTTCAGATCACTTACACCTACCAGAGATCCTAAACGTCATGCTGAGGAAAATGATGGGGGTTTATGGCCTGTCTTCGAGGACTATAGTTCATAACGCAAGTACTGTAGTGGGTCCCCTGGCTCTAATGTTGGCATCTACAGACTCATGCTCTAACACGGGGCGTGATTTGTAAAGGAAAACAGCTCGCTGTCTGTTGTAGCAGTAATGCTGTGTGGTAACAGCCCCCCAGAAGATGGAACCTGGGCAAGGGGCTAATTGGAGAAGAGACAAGGGAGAGAGGAATGCAGGAGGAAGGGTGTATGGAGAGACTTGCTAGCTAGCTCAGTGACTGAGAGGAGAAATGAGACAGAGGGTAAAAAGGAGGAAGGTGAGACCCAAGGAAAGGATGCGGAGAGACAGAGACAGCATAGGGCATGAAGACAGACACACGCATATGCTGCTGCTTTTCTGGCGGACGGGCTCCCAGCTTAGGTTCTGCTTGGCCACCATTTGCTAATACCCAGGTAGGGGGTTGGGTTTCAAAGTGGATTCTGGGCTTTCTTCAAGCTCGGGGAGAGAGTTGCTTCTCTCCCACTCGTTGGAAGCTGAAGGAAAGGGGGCCTTAAAGGGGATCACTAGTATGACAAGTTGGCAAGAAATGCCTATACGGCGGAATTTCTGACATCTTCTGCATTTTGGGGCTCACAGATTGGGATGCTACAAATTCAGGGCTATGACTTCACTGCTGGGCCAAGGAGAAGCTGGTCTGTGAGCGAGAAAGCTTTTAATTCACATGGAACAGTTGGGAGTAATATCAGAGCGAGAACTTGGCCAGTCAAGTAACTTAAACATTCTCTTTATAGTTTGCTACTATGTCACAATTCCCCTATAATTTTGGAGATATTAAGCACAGTTTTATAGGCCTAAATCCTCCCACAATCCTTGCTCTAAGGCATATCAGAAACCTGACATGTACAGACAATTAAGTGATGTATATGGCACTGCTTTAACAACCCTGTGGTGTGTGACCACAGTGTGTCTTGTTGCAACAGCGGGGTTCTGCAGAATTCTGACCCAGGGGAAAAAGCTGTTTGAGGCAATTGCTGGAGGATAAGTGACATTCTGTGTCTCCTCAGCTGCTGCAAGGAGATGGTAGAGGTTACAGTTCGGAAGAAACAAGATGAATTGCATTCAGACGACGATTCTGAGCTCCAGGAACTGGAGAAAATCAAGGTAACAGTTGCCAGTGCACCTGTCTGTCCACGGCATGGGCAGATCAGCCCGGGTTTGTGAAAGGAAGAGGAAGAACAGGCACAAAGCTAACATGGACAAGAGAGTCAGGAAGGAGTTTGCACACAGAACATTTTTGCTTCATCTTAGACCCAAGCATGGAAAGCCATAAGCCACCAAATGTTCCTTACTTGCAACAGTATTTTCAACCTATATGGTTCACTGATGGTCAGTAGTGAATTAAAACATTGTCAAATTGATTGGATGATACAGACCCTTGTTAAAGACCCCAGTGCTCCGGAGAATCCCTCAACACTTCCTCTAGTTAGACTCTACCTCCACTCACAGATCCGCCCCAACCAGCAATTTCCTAGTTGACTGCAGCACCCAGAGAGCACTTCAAAAACTTCTCAGTTTTGAGCAGTCTGTCTGGGCCATGTTTAGCCTTAATTTCTTTCTTACACTGTTCTAGTATACATGCCTCAGGCCTTTTCTGTAGGATCTAATCCACATGAGAGTTGCTATAGACTCAAATCTAGTTTAAAGGTTGCCAGGCACTTGGGCTAGGTAGTTATATCCAGCATTTTGCCAAGCCTAAGGAGAGATCCCTGGGCATACTAGGTACAGTACCCCATTGGCACTGGACAAGACTTCCTGATCTAGTCCTAAGACCTCCTGATTCTGCATATGTATGTAAAGCTATTACGCAGATGTCACATTAGTTGCTGGATTTTATCTTAGAGAAGTCTGGCAAACATGCCCTCTCGTATTGCATAGCTCCATTCCTCCCTCCTTTGAAATTCCCATTATCTCCAAAGGCCACCTTGTATTGGGCTGATCCACCTAATGTTGCTCTAAGCATCACAGAGATGGGGCTGTTCCAAAGTGGTGTGAGAGAGTGCTTCCTGCAGGTTTGGGAATGCTTCGCCCCAGCATTTCTGTGCTGGTTTATGGGGTAAAACATCAAGCCTAGGGCCTGAACTCGGATTCCTGCCCCTACCTTTTAGAGTAATCTGCTGCTACTATGCTGCTGGGCCAAACCAATCGGCAACTTGTTAAATATATTGTATGGAATAGGATATGAGTGCATGAAAGGCTCCGTGTTTGAAGGCTTAGAGGAGTGTATTTTCCTTTGTAGGGTGAGGATAACTGGGGCTATATTAATACCATAGATAGAAGGATGGTGTGAATGAAATGTCAGTTCTTCTCTTCCTCTTGATAATTTGTCTCTTCAATTACTTTATCCCAGACTGAGTGCCTGGACTGGGTTAATACCTGCAATTTCCTGCTTTCGGAATTCAAAGGTTCTCCCGTCTCCTTACTGAGTTCAGAAGAGAAGACGAACCTGTTTGGGCCTCAGGTACTTAATGACTTAGTACTTGCCAGCCATAGCAGAACCTGTTTCTCTGGGGAGCAGTTGAAAGGCTTTCCCGACTGAATAGTGTGGTTCAGTTTCCAGGGGGGTTCCTCGTATTGGAGCCCTCTGCATTCCAGACTCCACGTTGGAGGACTATTGGGGTTCATGATGCTTCCTATGGGGGCAGACTTTCAGCTGCTGTCAATTGTCCTAGCTTCAATGGAGCTGTGGTAGTTGACACCAGCTGAAGATTGGCCTTGAGGTGTTTCCTGGTAAATGTTGCGTCTCCCAAGAAATTGCGAATTGATGGAATCCTGGGTTTGAATGGCACAGGAGTTCAGAATGGTAGGAGAGCTCCTACCTTCATTCTGTGTGTGGCTGGATGATGCCTATGAGAATATGACTTGACTCTCAGTTTCTGGATGGTAGATCTGACAGTGGTCTAATTTCAGACATACAGGGCCAAAATCAAACATGGTGGAAGTGAATTCAGTTCCATTGATTTGAATGGAGTTTCGTCTGCTTACGTCAGGTCTGATTTGACCCTGTGTGTATAGATATTGTTTGAGATTTCCCACATTTAATGTGTGCACCAGCTGCCCTGTAGTCATCCTAGTACCTTGTTCTGTGGCTTATTCTGAACAGATTTTGCCAAGCTGCGTAGGGGTTTGTAATATTCATATAGGTTCAGTAAAGCTTTAGAGGAGACATCAACTTCATGTAACTTGTGTTTTAAATAGATTTGAAGGCAGCCCTCATAAACCAGCTGAGCTGCCATTTATTTCCGGTTTAAAAATGTAAGCGGAACAAGATTAGTGATTGTCTGCCTTGTTTTGGTCTTGGCTTCTGTTCTGTGGAGGGACAGAATCCTGGACAAGAGTGCTCCTAACCGGTCCCCTTGCATTGCTTTCCAGGAGTCTCGGCCACAGATGCACTCAGATGATGCAGAGTCGTCTTTACCTGAAGAAATTTCTGAGTCTTCTAAACTTGGGAAGGGCAAAACTGAAGATGTTGATGTTGAAAAGAAATCTGTAAAATGGGAAGAAGTGTTAGGGGCAAAGGTGAAAATCTCCCTTTTTACAAATGATCGCAGACATGCTGCTTTCCAGTGGGGCCTTTCTTTGTTTCTTGCCATTTGCATGGGACACGTGAAGTGTAGGCCTCAGTGTCTGTGTGGTGCCAGGAGCCACTGCACTAGCTCCTCATTCACCTTTCCTTCCAGCAGGAGCCACCTGTGCCAGTTATCAGCAGTGAGCCCCCGACTGTAAGCGGTGAGGTACCTGAGGACACCATCAGAATCGTGGGACATGACGCCAACATCCATTTGAAATCCCTCAAGTCAACAACAGTGTCAGTCTCTGGGGTGAGAATCTCCATTATACAAATGTTTGTTTCCTTTTCACCTGGTCTGTAACTTGAGTTCTGAGACCAAATTTGTAAAAGGGTTTAGGTGCCTGAAGATGCAGATAGGTACCTAGTGGCATTTTCAAAAGAATCTAAGAAGCTGTGGCTGTTCTCTGTTTGTCCCGTTTTCCCCTTTTCACTTTTCTGATTTTACACAAATTCAGTAGGTTCTGGCCATCAGTGCCTAGAACATTCCCTGACATTTTGTAAAGTAAACACATTATAGACATGTTTTGTCCATGCTGCAACTAAGCAGAGACAGACCAGCACCTCCCTGGACCAGGCATATGCTACAGAAGAAGGAGAGCTCTGTTGCTTTTTCCCCTCTCCTCATGCTTCTGTTTAGAAGGTGTTTCCTCTTTTCCCCCCAGAGAGAGATGACTGCCAGCAAGTCAACAACCTCCTATTCTCAAAAGGAGTTTGAGATGTTGGCTACTCTGGACCGTTTGCAAGAGCAGCTCCTGTGAGTTCTGGGTCATGTGATTAGGGGGCTGAGAGGGATAAGATTTAATCCTTGAAAAAGAGGACTGTCCAGTTCTCTGCAAGGTGTTAACAAACTGTTTTAACAAAGTTGTGCCATAACCACACCAGCTTGCTTGAGTCGCTCTCACTGCACGCAGTTCACACTGCTTGGGGTCATATCATAGGCAAAGTCCTATGGAAAGAAAAATCTAATGGACAAAAGCGTTCAGGAGAGCTTGGAGTTTCTCAAAGAGGCAGTATTTAAGGAACAAGTGCAACCTGTTGCCATGTAGAGGAATGGTAGGAAGAATAGTAAGAGATCTGTTGGGAGCTCTTTAACGACATGACAATCAGAAAGGAATCCTGCAAAAAGTGGAAACGTGGACAAATTGCTACTGAGGAGTACAAACAAATAGCACAAGCACATAGGAAGAAAATCATAGAATCATAGAACAGGAAGGGACTTCTAGGGGTAATCAAGTCCAGTCCCTGCACTCATGGCAAGACCAGGCTCCGTCTAGACCATCCTTGACAGGTGTGTGTCTCACCTGCTCTTAAAAATCTCCAGTGATGGAGATTCCACATCCTCTGCAGGTAATGTATTTCAGTTCTTTAGGTGATACTTAGGTTTTCCTAATGTCCAACCTGTACCTCCCTTGCTGCAATTTAAATATATTGCCTCTTGTCCTATCCTCAGAGGTCAAGGAGAATAGTTTTTCCACCGTCCTCCGTGTAATATCCTTATAGATACTTAAAAGCTGTTATCATGTCTCCTCTCAGTCTTCTCTTTTCCAGACTAAAGAAGCCCAATGCCTTCAATCTTCCCTCATAGGTCATGTTTTCTAGACCTCTAATCATTTTTATTGCTCTTCTCTAGACCTTCTTCAGTTTCTCCACATATTTCCTGAAATGTGGTGCCCAGAACTAGACACAATATCCTAACTGAGGTCTAACTGGTGCATAATAGAGTAGAAGAATTATTTCTCATGTCTTGCTTACAACCCTCCTGCTAATGCACCCCAGAATTCTGTTTGCTTTTTTGCAACAGGAACAACTGTTGCAACTGTTGACTCACATTGAGCATGTGATCCACTATGACCCCCAGATTCCTTTCTGCCGTACTCCTTCCTAGACAGTGATTTCCCATTTTGAATGTGTATAATGGATTGTTTCTTCCTTAAGTTGAGTGCTTTTCATGATTGTCCTTATTGAATTTCATCCGATTTATTTCAGACCATTTCTCCAGTTTGTCCCGGTCATTTTGAATTTTCATTCTATTCTCCAAAGCACATTCAACCCCTAGCAGCTTAGTATTTATAAACATACTCTCTATGCCATTGTCTAAATCATTCATGAAGATATTGAACAGAACCAATCCCAGAACTGATCTCTGGGGAATATCACTTATGCCCTTCCAGCATGACTGTGAACCATTGTTAACTCCCTGGGAATGATTATCCAACCAGTTATGTACGTACCTCATGTAAATCTCCCTTGCGCAACTTAAGCCCATTACTTCTTGCCCTGTCTTCAGTGGCTAAGAAGAACAATGTATCACTTTCCTCTATATAACAACCTTTATTGTACTTTATACCTCTCCAGTCTTTTCTTTTCCAAACTAAACAAACCCAACTTTTTCAAGCTTTCTTCATAAGTCGTATTTTCTAGACCTTTAATCATTTGTGTTGCTCTCCTCTGGACTTCTCTCAGTTTGTCCGTATTCTTCCCAAAGAGTGGTGCCCAGAATTGGACTCAGTACTCCAGCTGAATCCTTTTCAGTGTTGAGTAGAGAGAAAGAATTACTTCCTGTGTCTTGCTTACCACACTCCTGCTAATACATCCCAAAATGATGTTTGCTGGGGTTTTTTGCAATAGTATTACATTGTTGACTCATATTCAATTTGTAATCCACTATAGTCCCCAGATCCATTTTTTCCAGTATTCCTTCATAGGAAGTCATTTCCTGTTTTGTATTTGTGCAGTGGATTATTTCTTCCTCATAACAAGTTATTTCTAAGTGTACTACTTTGCATTTGTCCTTATTGAATTTCGTCTGACCCTTTGTTAGGAGAAACTGAGCTTTAAAATGAATTTAAAATGGAATTTATGTGTAAGGCCCATATAGCTGGAGCTAAGGAGTCATTTGTTTGATTTAGATCTTTTTAATAATGCCACACATTTAAATCAGTGAGTTTGCTTTTATAGAGCCAATCAGTTGTACTTAAAAATCTCTGTTTTCTTAGGGTATGTCTACACTACCACCCTAGTTCGAACTAGGGTGGTAATGTAGGCAACCGGAGTTGCAAATGAAGCCCGGGATTTGAATTTCCCGGGCTTCATTTGCATATAGCCGGGCGCAGCCATTTTTAAATGTCCGCTAGTGCGGACTCCGTGCCGCGCGGCTACACGCGGCACGGACTAGGTAGTTCGGACTAGGCTTCTTAGTCCGAACTACCGTTACTCCTCATTTCACGAGGAGTAACGGTAGTTCGGACTAGGGTGGTAGTGTAGACATACCCTTAGTCTGAATGTTGAGACTCTTGCCAACAGAGTCTCTCAGGCAAAGGTTTCAGTGTTTTCCTGGCTTCTGTATTTCAGAGATGCTGAGATCCGTGCTCAAACTGCAGAGGAGAGATCAGAAAGTCTGGATGAGCAGCTGGAAGAAGCTCTGGGGAAAATCCAAGCTCTAGAGAAACAACTGGAAAAAGCAACCCAACCTCAGGAAGAATCACCAAAACTAGGTGAGCTGTTTGCATTTTTAAACAGCACCGCCAAAACCAAGTGAGAATTCTGAGATGACTCATGGACTATGAGAGAAAAAAAATCTGCTAGATTCCCTAGTCCATCTCAGGACCAGTGCAGGACCATTTCCTCTTGGACATTTACTAGTGTTTTATCTAGACTAATTTTAAATGTGCCAAGTATCCAGTACCTCCCATGGGAAATTGTTCTACAGCAGGAACAATAGAATCGCTGCATTCGGAGCATTCGTGAAATAAAGTTGGTAAGAATGCTTAGTACAGCTGATTCTTTCTGTTTCTAGGAGCTTGTCTGCACTAGAAACGTAGGTTGACTTAATTTTACTTGGCCTACAGCCGCCACAGTAATGCAGTCAGCTGTTGGTGTCCACACTATCCTCCTTTTGCTGGGGAAGAGCTTGCAGCAATTGAAGAGGGGCGTTGTGGGGCACTGACAGTTGAATGTGAGACCCAAAGCTGGAGCCCTCCGTTCACCCCAAGGTTCTAGCCCCAACTGTGAGCCCCACAATTTCACAGCATAATGCCTATGAGGAGTGAAACTTCATTAATGTCAAGTCCATGCTGGTGGTGTCTCCACTCAGAGCAGCCACTCTGTAACAGCTGTGGAAGGATGTGGGGAGGTAGGAGCTAGAGTCCTCAGTTCCTGGCAGCCAGCCTTGGAGTGGGGAGCCTGAGCAGCGGGCCTCAGGGAACTGGGAGCCCCGGGGTGGGGAAGCAGAGCTCCCAGCAGCGAGAGGGGAGTGACAGCAGCAGTCTGCTGGAAGTGGGTAGCTAGAAGCCCCAGGGGCAGCTGAGTTCTAGATGAAGCCCACCCACCACTCACCCTAGGGGGACTGCGCCAGCTGTGAGCCAGAAGCAGGGAACCTACTAGCCAAGCTACTAGTCTTTCTTGTCAATTTCACAGCTCCAGCACTGAGCCATGAAATTCACAATAATTTTAGCCTACAACTGATGTATGTAGCACAGTGTGTGTAGGGACATAGCACCACCCTAACTGCGTTGTCACAAGTCCTGTGCCCCTCAGGGAGGGGGAGGTATTATGTCAGTGTAGTAAGGGCCTCATACTGGCGGTAGCAAAGCTGTAGTGTAGAAATGACGTAATTAGCTCGACACAAGCCAGCAGTGCAAGTAGGACAGTCCAGTCCAGTCCACCATACCAACAGCAAGATGTTCATAGCCGGTATGGCAAATCAGAAAGACACAGGAGGAGCAGAAGATGGGGCCACAGGGCAGCGCCCCACCAGCAGCTCCTCCTGTGTGGCTGTACTGCCCCCAGCCCTTCCACACAAGGTCTCCTCCATCTGTACAGCAGCCCCACCAGAGGACAGGGCTGGTGATGGGGCTGAGGATAGTGCAGCCAGGCTGGATCTGCCAGGGTGGGGCTACCTGGTGGCCCACATTATGTTCCTTTACCTGCTGTGGTTCCAAAGTCTCCAGTGCAGCAGGAGGAGAACAGAGCCTTCCCCTCACCCCCATCCGCTGGTAAGGGGGCGGTAGATCATGGGGAGGGGATGAGGAGAGTATGGGAGCCCCAGTCTGGGAGTGGGATGGGGAGGATTCATGTGGAAGGTCGTGCCCCCCTGAATTCCCCTGTCTCCCTGTACTTGCACCTTTAACATAAGCTGCCTTATATCAACCTAACCATAGTGTAGACGTAAAAAGTTTGGTTTTGGTGCATTGTACAGTTGTGAACGTGGGAACTGACTACAGTCATCTCACTCATGCTCTCCTTGTTGCTATCTTTTGAAGAGCTGTCCAGAACCACCCTCTCCTGAGTTGTGCCAGATAATTCATTCTCCATCTCCACTCAGTTCTGGGTCCCTCACTGCATGATGTCAAAAAGCACAACCCTAACTTTGAGGAACATAGGATCTGCTCTCCCTAGTATGCCATTCCATGGGAAAGCAGTTTCTTTCATTGGTTCAGAATTGGATACACCTTGATTTAGGGGAAGAGGGAACTATAGTCCTGAACTTTCCCCATGCAGCCCCTCTAGTGGGTCCCTCTTCGCTGTGATTTGAAAAGGGAGGGTGCTGCATGCTTGATTCAACAGGATGTATTTACACAAGGATGTTTCCCTGTATTGATTTTTAATGTCTGCATATTTTTTATTTCAGAAGTCCCTTCCCATGAAGAGCCCAAGCCAACTTCTCATAAACCATCTTCTACTGCCCGGTCGAGGAGAGCCAGCAAACCCAAACATTAAAGAATAGCCATGCACAGCGAAGGTCGTTTGGTTCCCCATTTGTAGTGCCTGGCATTCCACCACGCAGCACTAGGTCACGACCCTAAGTTTGAAAACCCCTAGGCCTAGAGAATTTAATATGACTGCAAAGGATTACAGATATCCTTATTCAGTATTGACTGTTTTCTTATTCTGGTTACATAACACCTCTTTTCCATTTATGCTTAGAAATTGCTATTCTAACCAATTACTATATTTTAATCAATACCCCAAAGCCAATTCCCCACAGTGGGCTGGTCCCCTGCCTGGATCAGCTAGTGACTCAGAACTGTAGGGCTCTGGGATGGAGCCCAAATTGTGATAACGGATTCGCAGGCAGGATTTCCCCCTTCCCACCTGCTCAGACATGTGGCTGAGGGTTTCCTTAGTCTTAGAACACTGGCTAATACCACTAAAGATGGAGGGTGCTGGGGGAAACAGGAGGATAAGGGGTTCTTGAGGTAGGTAGAGGAGGAGTCCCAAGAGGAATGCAGCAGCCAGGAGGAGGCTGGCTGCATACAGAGTGGAAGGAGAGAGAGGAGGGGTGGAGGCCCACGACAGTACAAGCTGCTCAGGGCTTTGGCCTGTTTACTTCACTGTCAATGAGGATCCTTGTCTCTACCAGTTTAAGGGTTAACTCTTTACTTCCTAGTCTGTCTCCTTGTCCATATTATGCTGATGCATTACAGTGAGGCATCAGTCTGGAAACTGTCTTAGCCCAACAGCATGTGGTCTCCTCTTAGAGGGTCAGCAACAAGCAGGGCTTAGTGAAAAGCGGGCTGCAAATACAGCAGCCAGAGCTTATTGGTGCCGGGGGTGAATGGCCTAGACGTCACTGCTTAGACCTTCCATCCCAAACCACTGAGGCTATATCTACACTGCAAGGTTTTTGCACAAAAACGTGCGGAGTATCCACACCTCAAATGAGCTCTTGAGCAGTTAAATGGGCAGTTAAACAGCAGAACAAAGGGCTTTTTCTGCCATAGGTAAACCTACTTTTCTGAGGCATAGCTGCTTTTAGTGCTACAGCTATTGTGCAAGTAGGCAGGTGTGGATGCTCCTGAGGGAGGTGCTCTGATGGCCAGTTTGCGCTTGGCAATCAGAGTTTTCTTGCGCAAGAGCGTCCATGCAGTGCGGACGCTCTCTTGCACAAAAGCACATGGCTTTTGCGATGTGCTTTGAGGTGTGGACGTGCTCTTGCGCAGGACGTTTTTGTGCAAAAACACTTGCGCAAAAGGCTTCTTGCACAAGAAGTATGTAGCGTAGATGTAGCCTGAGTGTGCAGTTGTCCAGTGGAGGGGGCACATGGTGATCTCCAACTCAGTGTTGGTGGGCAATGAACTCTCTCCACACACCAGAGCAGTTTGGCTAGGTTGGGAACTTATCTCTCTCCCTCCATATAAAAGTTTGCCCTGCCGGGTGACAGAATGATGTCATCAGTGTCATCAGCATCAATTCGCGGCCAGAGAGAGGGGGGTTGGTGAGCAGAGGGTGCAACCCCCTAGTAATAATAATAATTATTATTAACTATTAATTAATATCCAGCCCTTATATAGCTCTTTTCAGCGATTGATCTCAAAGCACCCTGTACTTTTGCTGTGGGGAAAGGTCCATCGCCTTGAATAGGGAGTTACAGATAATTGAAGAGCCTACCGGAGAGATGTCACTTAGTTGTGTTGGTTGGTTTGAGCATTCTGCCTGTTGTGGGGACCATCGGACAGCGCTGAATGGAGACTCCTCACCCGTCTGGGAGGTTCCATAGGCCAGTTAAAGAAGCTGTACGGGATGCTGTTATCTATAAGACTCCCGGCAGTTCTTATCTCCCTGCTTTCCCCCCTCAAGGGACGCACACCAGGGTTTGTAGTTTCACTCTTTAGTTCCCTAATAGGATCCCAGGTTCTCCTCTCACAGACACAGAGGACAAGAACTCTGCCTGTATCCAGTCCTTGGGTGCCATCTGATGGCAACAAGCAGCAATACAGCTCGCTTACCCCTCCTGCCCCATCCCCAGCGCTGTGTCTTCAGGCTCCCAGGCTATGTCTACACTGCCCTCTCTTATGCCAAAACATATGCAAATGAGGCAAAGCATGGAATATTGCCACGTCTCCTTTGCGTAATTAATGAGACTCAGTTTTTGCGCAAGAGGCTTTTGTGTCAGAGCTGTTCTCCCTGAAAAAAAGAGGAAGAACAACTCTTGCGCAAGAGGGGCTTTTTGCGCAAAAACAGAGCCTTGTTAATTATGCAAATGAGGCACGGCGATAGTCCATGCTTCACCTCATTTGCATCTTTTTTTGCGCAAGAGGGGGGCGGTATAGATAATAGCCTCAGTGTATGACGGGGCTTGTCTTTCACCCTACCAGAGTCACGCATGGCATAGGGGTGCTATGCCATGGGGGTGCCCACTTGCTCACTGATGGCAGGAGGCAGGAGCTCTCCTGGGAACGGGGCGCTGCTAGGAGCTAGTGTGGCCGATATGAGTCAGCCTGCCGACAGGTTGTGCCCTTCCCCCCTCCACAGCCAGGTGAACGCCAGCGTGTCCTTGTGCTGCTCCCGCTCCAACCCTGGGCGGTACCATCCCCAGGGCTGCTCCCAGAGCTCACCGACAACTGACACAGGAAGGAGCTGGAAAGCCAAGGGCCCCACCTCGCTTTCTGCGGTGCGGCCCATTGGCTCTCCCTGGTCCAGCTGCACCATACGTTTGGCCATGGGAGCCCAGAACCCAACAGCTGGTAAGTGACAGATCTTGGAGGACACTGTTCCTTGGAGCAGCCCATTTGCTGCTCCCACCCTAGTTTGCCCTTTGCAGTCAGTGCTGCTGTGGTAGCACAGATGGACAATGCAGGCACTGTCTGTATCAGCGTCTCCATGAACACCCTACGTGCCTCAGTTTACCTGCTTGGCATTTGCCTGTCCAGCTCTCCGGGGAACAAAGGAGGCTGGTAGGGGGAAACAAGCAGGGAATGAACCAATGTTTGGGATAAGCCACTGGGGTACACGGCTTCAGGGCAGTTAAGATGACACTGGTTAGGGCCATTACATGGAGATGCTATTCTCCACGTGCCAGGCAGAGGGGGCACCGAGGCTGGAGAAGCCTCCAGCTTTAAAAGCTCTTGAACAGCTATTAAGCCCCTCCCTTGGTGTGGGGAGGGGAGGGCCATCAATGGCCGCGTGGGTGGGGGACACTGCCAGAGCATGTGCGGTAGGCAGGCTGTTCCAGCCAGAGATGGAGGTGAGCGGGTGAGGAAGATGCAGGCGTGAGTGAGAGCGATGGGTGTCTCGGCCTGTATCGTGTGATCCCGCAGCTCGGACTGGCCCGGCCCTTGGGTGAATGATTAATCCGTAAATCCGAAGCAGATGTTTTCACGCACTTTATTCAGCTGATGCCCCAGGCGTCTGGAGGCAAATGGTTTCCAGGCGCCCTGCCCCGCTGAGCTAGTTCATTAACACAGCTGGGAGGCAGGGGGCGGCAGCTCCGAAACCCACCGAGACTGTGGGGGTGGCACCTGTCCCCAGAGGGGGGCTCTCATGAGGGACTGAGCAAGCTCTTGTGTTTCTCGCCCTGTCCCTGGGCCTGCACGTCTCCCCAGCTGCCTTTCTTCCAGGAGACGGCTGCTTTGCGATGAGCAACGGAGCAGCACGCTCTCAAGCGCCGCCCACTCGTGTGGAGCCCTGGCTAGTCCCCGGCCTCTGATGTGGCACAAAGGGCGCTCCGTTGGGCCACCTCGCATCTGGGCACCCAGCTTCAGCACCGCGAATGACTCCAGCTGGAGCATGGTGGAGGGGCTGGGAAGGGAGAGTTTGATTCTTTGGGGCCTTTCATAGAAAATACAAATGTCCAGGCTGTGTAGTGGGGATGCTAGAAGCCAGGGAGGGCTCCGGCGCAGGGGTTCAGGGGTGCAGTCTGCTATCCCATCCCTCTGCTCCTCGGCACGGCAGAGCAGAAGGAGCCATGAAACAGGGAGGGGCAGAGCGAGCTCCCACCCCTGCCCCCGTCCTGCGCCCACACTGGATGGGAATGTTCTTCCAATGCAGATCTCTGTGTTCAGCCCACTTTCTAACCCAGGCCGCTGCTTGCTTCCCTTCCCATCCCACCCCCCTCCGCAGCTCCCGCTGGGGCCCGGTGCAGGCCAGACCGTGGTGCTCTACTGAAGGGAAGTGGCCAGCAGCGGCAGCCCCATCTGAGGGCCGGCTCCCCAGTGTGGCTCTAGAGCATGGGGGAGTCCGTCTTGTCCTTCGGCGCCTCCGGGTGCTTGGGCGCGCTGGCAGGAAGGCCGGCGCCGCGGCTCGCCGTGGATACAAGAGTCATTAGGTCAAAGGGCAAAGGGAGGACGATGGCGGACGGTTTCTCTGCAGACAGGCACTGCAGCGCGTGCAGGTAGCGGAGCTGGACAGCAGCCGGGGAGCCGGCTAAGATCTCAGCTGCCATCTTCAGGGATTCGGAGGCAGCCTTCTCCCCCTCGGCAGCGATCACCTGCAGCACAAGGCAGCACACAGCTGTTTCCACCCTGGATTGGCCCCACTGGGGCTGGCCGGGGCGGCGGGGGCTGGCTGATGGAAGCTGAGCAAGTCTTAGAGAAGATGCTGGGCTGGAGTAGCTGCAAGTTCTCCCATGGCCAGTGCCCCTGCCGGAGCAGAACAGCCCCTGCAGCCGGAGCTCCACCACCACTCTGTGGAGAGGCTGGGGCTGCAGCAGGGTGACCACGCTGAGGGACCTGACTCCTCCTGGGCGGCTCTTGAAAGCCGGGTTTCCCAGCCTGCCCGTCATGGGGCCCTGGGGCAGGGCGGAGGAGCCTTGCTGGGGATCACAACTGTGCAAGGAAGCAAAGGAGAGGGCAGCCAGGCCAAGGCTTGGGAGACGGGCACCAGGCTCCAGCATTTAACCGGCCCTGTCCTGGGAGGAGGCCCGTCTGCTCAGGCCAGTGGCAGAGGCGGTCCTGGACTCAGCCACCAGGGGGCGCCACTGGTCCTGATATAAGGACTGCTGCAAAGAGACAGAAGCTTGGCGATGCAGCCGGTGGAGGGCCCTGGGCAGTGCTGCCCAGGGGGTAGAGCCCCACAGGGGGAGGGAAGGGGCCTTTCCCATTGCAGGGTCCAGAGGGGCGGTGCTGTGAGAGGGAAGGGGGGTGGGGGGAGGAGCTCAGCCAGTGGAGGTGAGGCCAGCTGTGGGGAATCTTCTCTCCTGGTGGTGTATAGGGTCTCTGTCCCACAGGCTGGGAGCTGACCAGCATGGCGCTATGGGGCTTTCACTGGTGTCCTACCCGCACTTTGGCCTGTCTCTGGGCCTCTGCTTCCACCGCCAGGGACTGCTGCAGTTCAGCTGGCAGCCGCACGTGGTTGCTGCAGGAGGAAGAGACGGGAGTGACGCCTGGAATGCCACGCCCACCGGCAGCGCCAGGCCGTGGGGGCGCCAGGTTGCCAGCCTGCCTGACGCTGCGCCCCAGGGACTCCCGTCCTGGGGGGGAGGCAGGGTGCAAAACCCCCTGGAGCTCAGATTTCAGACTTCCCAGCCCAACTCATCTCCCACCCTGCGGGGCTGGACCCACCTAGCACTGGAGTCAATTGGGCCTTCCCAGGGACTCTGATTCTTGGATGAAGGCTATTATCAGCCCAGCTGTTTTTCTCCTTTGGAACCAGGCTGTGAACCTTACACCTCAGCTTGTGTAAATGGATGTAGCTCTGACAACATCAGTGGCACTATGCTGTTATCCTGCTATGGTGCCTGGAAAACACACAAGCACTTTGTGCCATTTGAAGTTTTGCAGCTCCATCAGTGGAGATGCTGAGTACTTGGGCAAAGGAGAAGATCTGGATGCGGAGGGGAGAGGGGTATCAAAGCCCTGGAGAGGTGGCGCTTGGCTAGATCTTCAGGCAGAACAGACATTAGCACGCAAAGTTCGCAAAGGGGCCGGGGGAGGTTTGTGTACCCTGCTGGGTCTCCACTTCACACGCTTCCTACCTACATTTCTGTTCTCTCCACCTTGATTCCCCAACGACACGTGACTGCATCCAAGGCGACCTGGAGAGATGGGGAGACGCTGACCATCGGCTCTGTGTGCGGCACTCGCAAACCAGAGACAGTACAGGCTCACCTGGGTCACTGCCCAAGGGCGGTTGAAGAAGGGCTGGGTCTGGGAGGGGTAACTTGTGCAAACCACAGAAAAACTCTTCCATTTAAATGGCGTCAGCGTCTCTAAAGGTTAGACATGAAGGGAAATCCCTGCAGAGGGCAGGGAAAGGAGCTAGGCTGCCACGTGCATCGTCATTGCCTTTGGTTTCTAGGTCTTACCCACGGCTCAGGAAGATTAGTTCCCGGTCCTGGAAAAGTTTGTTGACTCAGGAGCACCGTTGCTGCCTCAAAAAATCCAGCCGTGGCGTAACGTCAGAGAAATCGGGAGGGGAGGGGGACACTTACACCAGGGCCGTATTTGGCCTTGTATAGGTCATTTGAATCTAGACAGCTGATCATTTCCCAGAGTGGATTGCTGTCCTGAGCCCCTCCCCCTCATGGCTCAACAGCTGGGCTGGCTGCAGCTGGCAGAGAAACAGCAGCCCACCGGGGATGCATTTCACCCAAGCACTTTGCCCTCCGACCGCTTCTCTTGTCCAAGGCACTCCAAGTGTAACCCCCACACGGCCGCCTTCCGTCGGGGGCAGCAAGCCACCTGATGCCACAACCGATCCCTGAGTCTGATCGCTGTGGGCGTCTCATAGGCCTTTCCACGAGGCCCTTTCTACACACTGGCTACGTCTAGACTGGCATGATTTTCCGGAAATGCTTTTAAAGGGAAAGTTTTCCGTTAGAAGCATTTTCGGAAAAGAGCGTCTAGATTGGCAGGACGCTTTTCCGCAAAAGCACTTTTTGTGGAAAAGCGTCCGTGCCAATCTAGACGCGCTTTTCCGCAAAAAAGCCCCGATTACCACTTTCGCCAAAAGTTTTGCGCAAAAGGACTTTGCCCGAATGGGAGCAGCATAGTATTTCCGTAAGAACACTGACAATCTTACATGAGATCGTCAGTGCTTTTGCGGAAATTCAAGCGGCCAGTGTAGACAGCTGGCAAGTTTTTCCGGAAAAGCGGCTGATTTTCCGGAAAAACTGGCCAGTCTAGACACAGCCACTGTGTTGAAAGGCTGATGTGCTTTGCCACCCCAAGCCACCCACCTCCACGCAGAGATACCTTCATCTCCTGGCCAATGCTCTTCCTTTCCAGGAGGATTTCGCTGAAGGATCGATGGGCCAGCAGGCGCTTCATGGTTGTCTGCACCAGCAGCTGAACAGCATTGGAGAGGTTGGCCACACTGGTTAGCAGGAGCGAGGCATTTTCCATCCGGTAGTAGCAGACGGCATCTATTTCCACGGTCACCATGTCTTTGGTCACTACCTAGGCAGAGAAGCGGAGGGTGATGGATCTGACTGCGAGAAGGAAGGCTGGAGAAGAAAATTTTTTTTTATTTGCTCAACCAATTTTTTCTCTGCCATGTTCGGTATTTTTTTTAAAGTATCTGGCAACCCTACCTAGTTGTGTTTGGTGTTCTGTGTTGTGCAGTAGTGTGTTGTGTTGTGTTGTGCTGGGCATTAGTGTGGTGTCACCTGCTTTTTGTGTTTAAAAAATCATGAACTTAGATTAAAAATGCTATGATTTTTGCCTTCTATTTTCTGTGCCTTTAGGGTGCGTTTTGATCATATTAGCAGGCTTTTCCGCCCAGCCATGAAGTCTAGATACTTAGCTTTGATTAAGAAAAGAACGTGAGATTCTTGCCCATCGTGCTGCGTGCCAGTCGGCTAGTGTCCTTTGCCCAGGGCTGGCTGCCTCTCAGCTGTGCTGGCCTTGTAACGCAAGCTAGTAACGCACTTTGGGATCTCTCGGGGTGCTAATGGGACCCTTTTATTGCTTCAGGGCCGAATGACCGACACTAGCCCCTGGCTGCAGGTCACGTCAGGGCTGAGCACGCTCAGGTGGGTGTAATATTTCATGCCTCCCTCCCACATGGGAGCAAATGGATCTCACCCGTCAGAGGAAAGTCTAACGCTAGAGATGCAAGGGAATAAGTGGAAGGGAGCCGGCTTACCTCATGGAAGGGGATCGCTAGGGTTTTGAGGCGACGGTCTACCTTGTGGTATGTATCCAGACAGGGAAGGAAGAAGAAAAGGCCTAGGGGAGAAAGAGAGCAGCGGCGTGCGACTGGGTGCTGTGGAAGAAAGTCCCCTGTCTGACCCAATGGGAGTAAACTTGGGGATATGTAGGACAAGACGGAGACCAAGAGAAGGGCCCAGAGCTTCAGCGTCTCTACCTGTCCAGGGTCCTGCTGCAGGAATGGGGGCGGGGAGGAGGAAGATGGAAATAAACGCTTCCCAAAACTGTGGCAGAGGCATCAGACCCTGGGGGGTTCCCTGGCCACCCATGGCTGTCTAGAGTCCTCACAGTGGGGGCTTAGAGGAGCGGGGTGCCAGGGCCTCAGGGTCTTACCACAACCTCGCCCTTCTCCAGGCAGCTAACCCCTGGGCAGTGAGGATGGAGCAAGCGGCTCATGTCACATACCTGCGGAGGTTCACCAAGAGACTGATCCCTGGCCCTGTGGGAGGAGGCGACCACAGTCTGCAGTGGGGGTGGGAAAGGGGCTGCTCTTCTGCTTCCTCATGGCTGGGAGGGGGCAGGGAAGCAGTGGGCATGTACCTGATCCCAGCATCTGGCAGTATTTGGAGACCTACGGGTGTCGGGGGCCCCCAGGAGCTGCCACTGCCCCATGGCCAGGAGAGAAACCAAAACCAGGGTCCCGGG